CTGTAAGTGAGTCTTGACCGCATGGGTGAGACTTGGGATGGTGTTCTTCTATGATTGGGGTTGTATGTACATTTGACTTGATCTGGGACGAGTGTAACCTAATCAATATTGTCTTTCCCCAGTTTTACTTTTGTTCTTTGTTGAACTTATGGCTATCTTCGGGGCCTATTTGACTCGAACAATTAAGCCTGAGGGGTTTCTAACCTGGTGCCCTATGGTCGTCTGACTAGGGAGTCACCGGCCCAAAGTTCGTTACAGGAGTCATTTATGTTGCCTAATGGGGATGGCATTGCACTTAGGTTCTTTTGTGAAAAAAAAAAAAATAATAATAATAATAATAATAAAGATAAAAATACAAATTTGGAATCATACAGTTAGGGGGAGTAAAATTGTGACAATCATAGTATTTGCTATAGGTCCTCGTGGAATTGGATTTGACTGTCACTTGGTCGACATTCACCGTTGTCGGGTCGTTTTCACGTGTCCTTTCTCACTAATTTAAGGTTTTGAGTCTAGCTTGCATGGACTACGTAGCACTTTTCACAGTAATATTCTGTATACACTTTACTACACAGGATTCTGAACTATGTGTGGATTAACGATTTGACTACATGCTGGAGGTCGGGTTTGTGATTTTATGCTTATTGTTGGTTTTGATTGCATATGTGATTTCATGCTATTATTTTTTTTGGATTATTTTCCACTATTACGTAGTTCACTTATTTTTGAAATTTCACGATTTGGGCTAATTTCGTCATTTCTTGAAGATTATGTTATTTTTCTCACAATTCAAATTTTTGGTGCTATTTTTGACATTTGGTATTTCGCTCGAGTCTCGCCTGGTCTTCGCTCGAGCGACAAAAGCAGTTTGCCTGTCGCCCGAGTCTCGCTGGACCCTCGCTCGAGCAACAGGCCTATTTTAAAACGGCCCTGTTTCATTTTTTTCGCGCATTTTCTCTTTTTCTCTTCTCCTTCGTTTTTCTTCGTGATTTCCTCCATATTTCATCCCCATATTCCTCTAATAATATCACTCCACGGTCCATAACATATTTGTTTCCAGATTTCCTTTGCCAAACTTCATATGGAGGTAATTTTTTTCTTTTTTCGTTTTCCTTCTCTTTGTCGTGTGTTTGGCTTACTTTGGTATTCTTGCTTGATTGTTACTTAATTAATAGTGGCTTCGACATTCCTTGTTTCATTGGGAGTTCTTTCCCGCATTGTGCATCACGATTTCCATTGCATTGTTGATTTCTTCATTCTTCGAACTATGTGATTTACATGTTTTTCATCCATTTTCAATTCGTTCGTTCTTGCATTCCGTTAATCCGTTTGACGTGTGGTTTGTTTCATTTTAAAGTACGTCGTTTCTCGTTTGAGGGACTATGATTGGATGGGTGATTGGATCTCATATGTGCTTGGAATTGTGTGACAAAGTGATGCACGCCACATGCTCGATGAAATTTCTTACCTATTTTACTCTTTGTTTCCTTTTTTTTTTTGTGCATCTCATTTCTTTCTTTCCTTTCCGTCGTTGGTTCTTTGTCATCACGTGCCATGATAGGTGTGTTCACACATGTTTTTGGTCTATATCTTCATCTTACTTCGTTTGTGCTTAGGGTCATTCACATTTGTCGATGCATCTCTATTGTGCCTCTTTTGTGTGTGTGGTGTTTCATTCCACATTGCATCGAATCACGTGCATTCTTCATATTACTTATTAGTTTTGTCTCTGCGAATGCCAGATGGCCCGTAAGTGTTCTCGATCCTCTGCACAGCCAGCTAGTGGTTCGACGTCGTATAGTCGTTCCAGATTCATTTCTGCTACAGTTCAGGAAGTCTTCACTTCTCAGTTCTCCTTACGCCCCGTTCTCGTGGAGCGTGGGGTAATCTTATCTGACTTCCTGTTGATATAGCCGCCATTTTTGTTTCCCGGGGTTGGGAGCCCCTTCTTATTGGTCTTTCACCTCCTCCCCCACTCCTTGTTCAGGAATTCTACGCGAATATTCATGATATAGACGGCTCGTCCTTTAGGGTTACTCTTAGAGGTCATTTGTTTAGAGTTACTCCATCGGCTATAGTTCATGCCTTAGGTATACCTCAGATTACCCATCCGACGTACCCCTATATTTTACCTGCTTATATTCCGGCCGATACTCTTATTCGGTCTACGCTTTTGAACACCCCGTCTATCGGTGGGCTTACGGCGATGGCCACGGGGTCATTGCCTACTGATCGTCAGGTCTTGTTGCGCATAGTGTGCACAAACCTGTGGCCTGTTGCCCATACCTCTTCTCTACCTATGGTACGTACCCGTTTTCTGTATGCCCTTCTTCATGGGGACTCGATCGACTTTTCTAGTTTTGTGTGCCAGAATATTCTGGCTTCCTTTCGTACTCCTGGGGGTCGGATCGGGTTGCCTTATGCTTGTTTGATTCATCGGGTTGCGTTGTCTTTGGGTGCCTCTTTTTCGGAGGGTTCGACTTGTCGCATAGGACGTCCGATTGGATAGCAAACCATTCATTAGAGTCGATCTCATGTACTGTCATCTTCCTCTACCGCTCCGGCTGCGACCCCTGATGTTTTTGATCCTTCGGAGCCCTTTGATCCTATTACTGAGATTCTTACAGGGGGCTCCCGTGTGTTTCTCCCTCCTCGTCCAGTTTTTCCTTCTGCTATGCCTCTTAGCTCTGCGTTTGCTTCGACATCTACTTCTACTCCGGGGGTGGCTTCTCTGCCCGTTGACACCATGGTGACGCTTATAGGTCAGATGTCTACACTAATCGAGCACCAGGCTCGTATGATAGCTAAGATCATGCAGTTACGTGTTGTTTCGGACGTCAGTCAGCCGAGATGTCTACGTTTCACCGTGCTCTTGCTGTCTATCAGCGTCAGTTGAGCTGGATTCGAGATCATTTGGAGGAGAGCACGAGTGCTGAGAGTGGTTCTGATTCTTCCAGTGCTGGAGATGCTGCTTCTAGTTCATTTTGTTGCTTTCGCTTTTCTTTGGCCCTTTGTGACAAAAAGGGGGAGTAGATTGAGATATGGAGTAGATTGCATAGATATTGGAGCTGCATAGATATTGGAGCAGATAATTATTTTTTGATAACTGTGATATAAAGTTGATGTATATATGTCATTTTATAACTAGATTAAGTTTTTGATGTTTTGGCAATCTTAATGTCTGTTTTTGGTGTTTTAGACATACATTATTATTGCTTCTTAATCTGGTTAATGATATATGATTTATATCTTGTCTATATTTACTGTTTCCATTTCACATGCTTTTTCACGTGGTATTTGAGTTTTGTTTTTCAGGAAACAAGTTCAACAAGATATTGCTGATGTGATAGAATAGATTGGTAGTTTGAAGTCAATTTGTTTTTTATCCTTGACTGTCAAATGTGTTTTTGTCACAGAATGCCAAAGGGGGAGTTTGTTAGGAAAATATGTAATTGACAAATATGTGACCAAGGACCAAATTGTCAATGTCCAATAGTTCAGGGTCTAGAGTTGCAATTAACTAAAGTTTATAGGCTAGGTCTAGGGTTGTGTGGGATGCCTCGAAGATGCAAGCGGTGCTTTGATTTCGCTAGAGTCTCGCCCTGACCTCGCTCGAGCCACAATTGCAGAACCAACTTCGCTGGACTCACGCTGAGCCATCGCTCGAGCGAAATGTACGTCGCTCGAGGCTCGCCAGTACCTCGCTCGAGCGACCGTGTTACCTAGCCAATTCTAATTTTAAACGCTCGTGAATGTTTGACGCTCCACATTACCATATATCGACCTCTATATATACCAAACGTCCGATTCGTGTTCATTAACCCGAAAATTCACATTGAAAACACTTTGAATATTCTTTCAATTCCTTGGCAACCAAAAATCCAAATCATTCTCTCCAAGGATCAAAAGCCAAAGAAATCCTTCATTGTTCTCATACCAATCTTTGGCTTGTTGAGTAAAAACATCAAATCCATAAACACCAAAACACCTGTCTCACAACTCCAATTAAACTTCCAGACGATCATCAGTTTGAAGATCCGGGAAGGATTTGCTTGAAGAGCAGGAGTGCGTAGCGATTCACGGGAGGTAGAAATTATACAAGGCTGGGATTTAGCACGGATCTACAAAATCCAGGAGGGTCTTGAGTTCATACAGCAAGGAGGTCAGAAAATTGAGAGTGTCAATGATGTCTGGCGTGCTGTAAGTTGGTTTCTACAATAATGAATTTCTACTGGCTTGTGCCCGGAGTTTTTACCCAGTTGGGTTTCTCCGTCAACATGTTTATTGTGTTTTTACCGCTTTAATTTATTTACTTGTCAATGGTAATCCAACATAGGTAGATAAAGCACGTGAATTAATCTGAACAAATTATAATTTGTGTGACTTGTTGCATGAATTATTCAAAAAGTTTTTAATTCCGCAAGAACACCTATTCACCCCCCCCTCTAGGTGTTAGTTGGGTCGAACGATAGGTTTTTCACTATATTTACAACATTCTCCCTTGAATGACTATTTATACAATAACTATCTCATTAAAACCTCGTTTGACAAAAAACTTGATGAGACAAAAATGTCGACAAATAAAGAAAGAGTATAAATAATTTGATGTAGTAAAATAATGTCTCATTAAAACCTTGTCAAGAAAACACAATGTGACAAAACTTGATTGAAGGAAAAGTAGTACATTTACTCCCCCTAATTTCAATTCTTGTACCAAGCAATTTACATCTTGTATGTCAATGCCTTAAATATTGATATCTAATACGTTAATGTTTTCAAGAAAACCTAATGGAATAAAACATGATAATTGTAGTAACATAATGATTAAAACAAGGTTTTGTTGATCTCTTCAGGAGTTATATATATACGAGTAAGACGCACGTGCAAAGCACGTGACATGGTGTAGTTGACTATGTAATAGCACAGGTACAGAAAAATACATAGATGTAAAATTAAGGAGTTTGGGTGAATAGAAAAGGTGAGCTCGTCCAAAAGGGGCATAAGCGAAAATAAAACCTCAATTTAGAAACATAATAATTAATAGTTGTTTATGCCATTACAGTAAAAACTCCTATATATCTAAAAACAATTACTTTCTAATAAAAATCGACCGAAATAATAAAAACTCAAATATCTAAAATTAAAGCTAACAGTAAACATATTTCAATAAACATATCCAAATGCAAATCTATCCGTTGGAAGTGGTTGGCAGTTGGACCATTTCATTCTGATGCTCAAGTAGCAACACATACACTGTCTTTATCAAACCAGGAAAGGCTTCTTAATTATTTTTCTTCTCCTGTGGGTCACAAAGAATTACCAAAGCCAACCTGCCCTGAAAACTTTTAACCATTTTAAGACCTGCAAACACGCAACAAAGTGGGAGCCTTCATCATTAGTCATTCCAAAGCAAAAGCAAAAGCAAAAGATAAAAGAAAAGAAAAGAAAAGAAGAAGGAGGAGGAGAAATTTTTTTTTTTTAAAAAAAAAATAAAAAAATAATGCAAAATCAGAGGTCAGTTGAAACCCAACAGTCTCTGATGCAAACAGGGCAGATTTCAGGAAGTTTGAGTTTCACTGGGATTATGACAAAAGAAGAGGAAGAAATGTTGAAATCTGCTCTTTTGACATTTAGGGCTAAAGAGGAGGAGATTCAAAAGAAGAAAATGGAGGTTAAGGAGAGAGTTCAAGCACAGTTGGGTCGAGTTGAACAAGAAACTAGGCGTTTGGCTACAATCAGGGAGGTATATATTTTCATGATATGGCCACCAAATTTATTGGCTACCTATAAGCAGAGACTGAAAATGTGACATTAATGCAGTTGCTGGCAGGTACCAAAGAAATGAGTTTGAACTGAATGATGTCAAGTTGAGGTCCATCTGACATCATCATCTTACTACCCCATTTCTTGAAATGAAAATGGTAGAATAATGTTTTTTTTTGAAAAAAATGAGTGGTTGAAGAAGAATAAAAAAATTTTGATTTACGTATAATATTATTTTATGAAAGATTGTGCGATTGGAAAAAGAAAAAGGAAAAATGAAATGATGTAGCCGAGGAATAAGTTTCAAAAGTGCTTGATGTATAGCATGGTATAGTCCCCTCACAATAAGAGGCTTATCAATTTTTATTATTATTATTTTTTTCTATGGACTCCCCACACATGAGAGAGCTGTACAAGTAGGGATGGCAACAGAATGGAGCGGGGACAAGGCAACTTTTTGCCCCGTTTAATTTTTTTCACATTTTCAAATTTTTGAGTTAGGTTATTATTAGAGAATAAATTATAAATACAAAATGAATTTTCAACTGGTGAATTGTCTAGAAATAATAAAGCTAATAGTAAAAGCAATTACTTTTTAACAGTTTCATAATTTTGCTGGTGATGAAACCCTATGTTCTCAGCATATTCTCTCTCTCTCTCTCTCTCTCTCTCTCTCTCTCTCTCTCTCTCTCTCTCTCTCTCTCTCTTTTTCTTACCAACTGATCCATAGAGTTCCAATTCCTATATCTTTCAAAGTATATTCCAATTCGAGTTCCAGCTCAAAAAATTATGGCTCTCCATAATAATTATAGAAAATAATCTGCCTCAAGCAGCTTCTATTTACATTACAAAACTACTATAAGAGGGAGTGTGTGTGAGAGAGAGAGAAAGAGGGTTCCTATGGTGCCGAGTAGGTAAACTCTGCATAAACCATTGTTGGAGTGAGCTTAAAAGTAAATTACACTTGCTGTTAGCAATAAGATGCTAAAAGGATAGAGTAATGTCAAACCTAAGGTGAGAAACAATCTTCAATAGCCCTACAAAAACAAAAAATCCATCATTGTTGCTGGTGTCAGAAGCCATAGAAGTCTAGCAAAACATGTGGGAGGTCGATTTTGTTGCTTTAACTCCATCCCCATCTTCATGGACACTTATCCTTTCAATCTCTTTGTCATTTAATTTTGCTTAAATTAGCTGCATAACATAGGATCTTACTAATTATTGAAACTTCGCTTCTAATAACTATGCTAAATTATTTATTTCAAATTAATTCATTATTCTCAAGGCAAAGAAAATTCCTCTTTACTAGAAGAGTTATAAGGGTATAATTAACCTTTGCTTTTGTTGCAACCGAGTCCTCTACAACATGAATGACTCTCTTCTCTCCTACCCCCACTCTCATTCTCCTTCCCGATTGCAAGATAATATATAGTTGGAACTTGAGTTTCTTTCTCTTTTTGTCAACATTGAACTGAAAGTTGTTAATTTTGGGTTTTCAAATTTCACCTGCTATCATACAATCAGGGATATGTTCGACCATAATTCTAAAGTCAATTGCCCAAAATTTTGAATTCCACCTATCGCAATGTTGGCTAATTAGAATATATCATTAAATATGTTTGAAGTGAGAATATATTCTAAAACCAAATTGTATTGTCAAACCAATTCTCTTAAACATCTAGAGAACATAAAATGAGAAAAAAAAATTTAAGAATTTCTACATAGGCACTCAACTTCCAAGCTGTAGTATATATATTCGGCATAATGGGTCCCAGAGTTGAATAAATTGAAGACATAGTTGAAGAAATTTTGAGCCACAATCGGAATGATATCTTGTTTCCAAATAGCTTAGACTTATTGGGGCATCTCAAATGCTATCTAGCAATGGTTTATACATGCACAGGCTTTATAAGTACATGCACCTCTCTTAAATGGACTACAACCAACTTAAGGGCAATGAAATCCTAATGACATTAAACTTCGAACAATTAAAAAAAAAAAAAAAATACTGTTTGATTTCATACCACCAATAGAACACATATCCCATGTCCCAAAATGAGTTAAAAAGACAAGTAAAGGACTGGTTCGATTCAATTCCAATTTTTACCGAAGTATAGCCTTAACAATTAAAATACTCTGATTAGCATAAGGTCCTCATCTCTACCTGAATTTTATACGCCAAAAGTCGAGTATCAATAATAATATTAAGAAAAGGGTAATCTTATTCAATCCAAACATTAATTAAAATTAAAATATTTCCAGTAGTTATAATCAATTATAATAAAAGAACTCATTATTTCATCTAGGAGTAATCAAATTCTAATCAATACCACATTGCAATCATACATAGCACAATTAGTTAATTAAAGATGAAAGAATAAAAAAATTTAAACAAAAACCATACCTTCTGTAGGTCCATCCATCATGATCATTGATCACAGCAGTAACTCTTTTTTCATTCGAACTTCCCATTTCTCCACCAAAATAAAGCAATACCCAGATTTCAAAATTCTATGTGCAACTTTCTAGTAATTGAACACAGCTCCATATCCTACAATATCTTTCGATCATTTAAGTTTTCAAAAAATGTAAAAATTTTGGATTGATTATTTACAGGAGGAAAAAAGGGTGACGATGGTTGGGAATCATTTGGCAAAGAAGCTTGTGAAGTATCATTATAAGATTTCTATACAACTCTCCAGCAATTGTTGTTTTTCATCATCAACCTTGATTAATTTCTTATATGTAAACTTTTATGATTACACTACTTGGTAACATGCATACAGGCACTTCATCAGATTAAGCTGCTAGATATTGGCTTCTAATCAGAGTTTGTTTGCTTCTGACACAAACCTTTTTTAAAATTTTATTTTGGGAAATCTCAAAAATTCAATAGTGGTTTATTTTTGTTCTTTCTTCAGAATATTTCCAAAATCTAAAATATGATGGGAACTAACATTGTCAGAGTACTAAAATTGAAAGAATTGAGAAAGAAACAAATCAATTAACCTTTGGGGGCCTCATCGTAAGCCTCGATTCACCATATCTCCATTCCCCATTTCTCTATTCCTCCTTTTTTTTTAAATAATACACTTTTCTTTTATTTCACTCTAATTCAAAGACTTTTAACAAATAAGTCAGAGTGAAAAAAAATGTAAAAATGAAATTTACCCATCTGTTGTACCCACTTGTATTGTGCCAAACACTGCTTGAGCTCGAATCATCATGATCATCCTGTTCTGCAGACATATTTTGCCCATTTTAGTGTACACCATTAAATCCTAATGAGAAAATGACTATCAGTCAAGTGAAGAAGATTTCATTTCAATTTTTCAAAGAGAAGGAAGGACAAAAAGCATCATCAATTCAATCGTCGGAAAAAAAAAAACAAGAAGAAGAAACAAAAATCATTCACCACAGATAATACAAACCAACAAAATCAAAACATAGAGAAAAAGAAACAGTAAAATTAGTTCATTCAACACTCCGTCAGTGAAACACTTGTAAACCCATTCTTCAAGAATACCTACATCCGCTTAGAGGCTTGAATCTAAATCGAAAAGCTCCGGCAAGATTACGTAGCTTATGGAGAGAATCTTGAGAGAAAGAAAAAGAAAAGAGAGAAGGAAGGAGAAGTATGGACGATTTTCTGGGAAACTGGTGAATTAAAAAGATCTAGTAGTTCTGAGAAGAGAATGGAGATGATGGTTGTGTGAGGTGTCTGTACTCAGATGTATGGGTGTTGCGAGTAAAAAAGTTTTTTTCCTACATTATCTTATGATGTCGTTTTACGTTCCAAAAATAATTATAAATGACGAAAAAAAAAAGGTGGAGCTAGAGGTAGAGGCACGCATTCCTATTAACAGTAAACAAACAAACTCCCTCTTTTATGTTATAGGGATATCAAAATATTATTTTGAGGATAAATTCATTACAAAATATACCTCATCAAAAGCAATTAGAAAAAATACTATGGAAAATTTAATAAATAAAAAAACTGCATTTATTCTTTTAAGTATGCTACAAAAATTGTCTCGTTAAAAACATTATCAGAAAAATTCAATTGGACAAACCATTGGTAAAGAAAAAAATGTACATCACGTATTTACTATTTATCATGATAATATTACTTGAATTATGTTTCAAGCAAATTAAATATTTCAAGGATAGTATTAAATTTATATAAGATAAGTTGACTATAATCATATTTATTATATAAATATCAAATATCGTGCATTGTTCACTAACAATCACATGATAATTTATTTATTTATACAATTTTTCGTGAAATTCAATATGTAAAGGGTCGTACATTTTATATTATGACTTTACTTTTTTCCTTTTCATTTCACATGGGTACACACTTTTAGGTGTTCAGACCATAGATCCAAGAATCTCAAGTATCCTTTGTAAGTTTGATTTTACTAGGATCGCATCCAAAAACTTCGGGTTTCTTTAGTAAACTAATTTTAGAATGATACCATCATTTTATTTTGGTTTCTCACTATTCATAATATGATATGATTCATCATATGCAAAAGTATTATCAACAACTTTTTTCTTTTTGATTCTATTTCTTGCCTTATATTAACATAACTTATTGATATATCTTAATTTCCAATATATCAAGAACCAGAAGTATTAATCACAAGTAACATAATGTGTAAGGATGAGAAAGTTGGGTTGCCCCCCAACAAGCGCTTGGTTATAGTCCCTAGCTCAACTATAGGCCTTGTTCACTCCGGATTGGCAAGAGGAATGGATGACTTCTCCTTTGAAAAATCACCTCCAAAGTATGGTTTCAACCGTTGTATGTTAGCCTTAAAGTTTCCCTTTTCCTCATGATGAAGTTCAACCACTCCATGTGAAAAAATTTTAGCGATGGTGATAGGACCCTACCATCTCGAGCGGAGCTGTTTAGGAAACAATCAGAGTCGAGAATTGTAAAGAAGAACTTGTTGCCCAAAAAAGAAGTCCCGCTTTACAATGTTTTGGTCATACTATGTCTTTGTCTTTTCCTTATAAATTTGGCCACTTTCGTATGAATCAAAGCATTGTTCATCAAGTTCATTCAATTGAAGCAATCTTCTCTCACCAATCGATTTGACATCAAAATTCAAAGCTTTTATCGCCCAATAAGGCCACTGCTCAAGTTCTACTGGGAGGTGGCAAGCTTTTTCAAACAAAAGACGATAGGGAGAAATACCAATGAACGTTTTGAACGTGGTAAGGTAAGCCTATAATGCATCATCCAATTTCTTGGACCAATCATTTCTAGAGGCACTCATCGTCTATTCAAGTATCCTCTCTAACTCTCGATTTGAGATCTCAACTTGGCCACTAGTTTGGGGCTGACAAGGAGTGGCCATACGATTCTTTACTCCATATTTGGTCAATAGTGAATCAAAGAGACGATTGCAAAAATGTTTACCTTTATCACTAATGATAGCTCGGGGGTGCCATAATGAGAGAAAATGTTTTTCTTTAAAAAGCTTACTACCACTTGAGCATCATTAGTAGATAAAGCCACCACTTCTACCCACTTTGACACACAATCAACTACCACCAATATGTATTGATTTGAGAATGAAGGAGGAAAATGTCCCATAAAATCAATACCTTAAACCTTAAACACAAAAAACCTCCACCTCCAATATAGAATTCAAAGGCATTTCATTTCGGTTGGAGATATTACCACTGAGTTGGCATTTGTCACACTTGGAATCAAGAGTGTAAGCATCTTTAAACAAGGTACGCCAATAGAAATTGAATTGAAGTACCTTTGATGTAGTTTTTATGGTACCAACGTGACCACCATAGGGAGAGGAATGACATTGCTCAAGGATTTGCTCCATTTCTTCTTCCGGTACACATCTCCGAATAATTTGATCTGGGCCCGTTTGAACAACAAAGGATCATCCTAAAAATGATGCTTGATGTCGGCAAAGAACTTCATCCTTTGTTGGTAAGATAGATCTAGGACAGTGATACCACTAGCAAGGAAGTTCAAATGGTTGCATACCATGGTGTATAAATGGTTTGTAGAATATGCATAATTTGCAAGAGTTGTTTATCAAAGAATTCTTCATTTATCTCCCCATCCACTACTTCTTCGGTTTGCTCAAGTCAAGACAGATGATCGGCAACAACATTTTTTATCCCCTTTTATCTCAAATTTCCAATTCAAACTCTTGTAGAAGAAGTACCCATCTGATCTACCGAGGCGTGGCATCTCTTTGCTAGCAAATACTTGAGGACTGAGTGGTCTGTGTAAACAATCACGTTCGACATAGTGAGGTAAGATCGAAATTTATCAAATGCAAATACCACTGCAGGCATCTCTTATTCAGTAGTGGCATAGTTCAGTTGAGCATCGGTTAAAGTTTGGCTAGCATAGTAGATAACGTGCAAGATTTTATCTCTTGTTTACCCTAAAATTGCTCAATGGCATAATCATGTACATCACACATAAGCTCAAACGGCAGATTCAAATTCAGAGCTACAATGATAGAAGCCATGATGAGTTTCTCTTTAAGAGTGTTGAAAGTATAAATACACTCTTGAAAAAAATCAAATGGAGTGTTCTTCTCAAGTAAGGAGCAAAGCGGCTTTGCAATCTCCGAGAAATCCTTGATAAACCTCCTATAAAATCTGGCATGTCCCAAAAAACTCCTTATCTCCTTCACCAAGGTTGGTAGAGGTAATTTCTCAATGACTTGGATTTTTGCCTTGTCAACCTCTATCCCTTTTTGTGAAATTCGATGGCCAAGAACTATGTCTTCTTGGACAATGAAATGGCATTTTTTTCAATTAAGTATTGAATTGGTTTCCTTACATCTTTTTAACACCATCTATAAATTGCTTAGGCATCCGTTAAATGAGGCTCCAAACACTGAGAAATCATCCATAAAAACTTCAATACATTTTCCACCATGTCGAAAAAGATAGCCATCAAGCACCTTTAGAAAGTGGTGGGTGCGTTGTAAAGACTAAACGACATCCTTCTATAAGTAAATGTACCATATGGGCATGTAAAGGTAATTTTCTCTTAATCCTTTGGGGCTATTGGAATTTGATTATAGCCCGAATACCCATCCAAATAACAGTAATGAGAATACCGCGCTAACCGCTCAAACATTTGATTAATAAAAGGAAGGGGAAAGTGATCCTTCCTTGTAGCCTTGTTAAGCTTGTGGTAGTCAATGCATACCCTCCAACCGGTCATGGGTCTAGTAGGCATAAGTTCATTATCCTCATTTTCCACAACAATGATACCTTCTTTCTTTAGCACCACTTAAACAAGGTTCACCCATGCACTATCTGAAATCGGATAAATAATGTTCGCATCAAGCCACTTTACTACCTCGGCTCTTACCACTTTTTTCATGTTGGGATTCAACCGCCTTTGATGCTCCACTAATGGTTTAAAAATCATCATCCAGAAGGATTTTATACATGCATAGTGAAGGACTAATTCTCCAAATATCTGCAATAGTCCGACCAATGGCTTCCTTGTGTTCCCTCGACACCCGAAGGACTAATTCTCCAAATATCTGCAATAGTCCAACCAATGGCTTCCTTGTGTTCCCTCAACACCCGAAGTAACTTGTCTTCTTCCAAATCACTTAAGGAATTAGCAATGATAATTGGAAGTGTAGATGACTCTCCCAAATAGGCATACCTCAAATGAGATAGAAGAGGCTTCAAGTCAAGTATAGGTGCCTGTTGAAGAGATGGTATTGGTAGTGAAGAGCTCTTTTCCAAGTCCTCAAAATTTGGTGTCCTCTTGTAAGACCGAGAAGGTATAGCCTTCAAATAATGTGCCATATGCTCAACTTTAGGATCTTATCTTTGATATTTGAAGAATGGACAACACATGTTTCGAGATGATCCTTAGAAAGCCCATAAAAAGAATCGGCAACCATATGATTAGCAACGTCCACTCGAAGGTATGAATCGGATTCAGAGGAATACTTGATGGCCTTCAAGATATTGAATGTAACTTGTTCATCTTGGACTCTTAGAATGAGTTGCCCCTCTTTTACATCAATCAAAGCTCGACCGGTGGCAAGGAACAATCATTCCAAAATGATAGGGATGTCATAGTCCCCCATGTCAAGAATTATAAAATCATCCGAAAATATGAATTTGTCCACCTTGACTAACACGACCTCAATGACACCCTAAGGATTTTAATTGATCGATCAGCCAATTGTAATGAGACAGTGCTGGCCTTAGCTTCTCCCAATCCCAGCTTCCTGAAAATAGACAAAGGCATCAAATTAATTTTAGCACCAAGATAACATAAAGTTTTACTAAAATTTAAATCACCAATAGTGCATGGAATAATAAAACTCCCTGGATCTTTGATTTATGGCCATAGCTTCTTTTACAAAATGGCGCTACATTCCTTCGTTAGCATCATTGTCTCATGTTCTTATTGTTTCCTTTTGTTTGAAAGAATATCCTTCATAAATTTGGCATAACTTGACATTTGGGCCAACGCATCAGCAAAGAGAATGTTTATGTGTAGATTTTTGAAGACTTCCAAAAATTTTCCAAATTGAGCATCCAATGTCTATTTGTAGAACCTTTGTAGGAGGGGAATAGGAGGCACATAGGCCTTGACCGGTGTTGGATACTTTGATGTTGATGGCTCCGATTCATCTTCCTTGGTCGCTTCATCCTTTGTATTACGTTCTTGTACAACCCCTTCTTCTTCAATGGGTGCCCTGTCAATTTGAGCCTTCGGGTGTATCACCGTGATTTCGAGCAATTGCACCC